TCTCCCTTAAGGGGTTATTCAGAATTCCACCACGTGAGAATATAGGCAAAATCGGCGAATGAGAACGATAATAAATAAAGGCGTTAGATATAAATATGCACAAGGGCTGTAGCAATTTGTTCTCATTTCATAATCTTTTGTGAATTCATCAGGCCATTTATTTGCATCTATTAATAAGATAAATAATTGCTAATTTTTGTTTAATAATAAACTACTAAAAACCTTATTTCAGCCATATGCATATATTGGTTAGCATGAGTGACAATTAGGCTTATATTGCAGACTGTTTGATGGACTTTTCTTATAAACCGAACCATATATAATAAGCGAATTAGAATCAAGTAATGGTAAAGAAGCGAATCAAACTTGTTAAGCCTCTATCTATAGACGCCATCCACCGAGTTAGGGCTGCTGAGTTGATAAGGTCAATAAACTATAAGATGTGTAGTATATTACTAGTACTCATCCTTATCAATTTAAACATATTACCCTATTTGGAAGTATGTATTTTATGAGATAATATCCGAAAAAACTAATTAAAATTCACTGTATCTACTTTTAGGAGTAGAAATGAAGGAAATTTAATAGCTATAAGGGCACTACAATATGAAGACATCCATTTCCTATGAAATGAATAGTGAAAAGAATCGTAGATCGATCCCAGCGCTTGGTGCAAGAGGTAATTCTGGCTGTCAAATTATTTGTTAGATATATGGATAATTATTTTGTGATCTGGAAACATGCTAAGAACAGTCTAGATAGATTCCTACTTTTGCTGAGCCAGTGTGAAAAAAATATTAAGTTCACAATTGAATTATAAGAAAATAACAAATCAACTTTTTGGATGTTATGGTTATTAGGGAAAATGGAGTTGTTTATAGGAGACTAGCATTGAGTAGTTTCGTTCTTAATTTTCCCTCTAGCAATAGTTACAAAACTAAAGTCTAAATTTTAAAATTTATCCTTATTAGAAGCATGAGACTTGCAGATAAAAATCATCTGACTGAAGAGTAAAGGAGACTGAAAGATTTGGTCCAAGAGAATAATTATCCTTTGGGTTTAATTGATACCAATATATCTTTAATGTGGAATAATTTTCAGCTGAAGACAATTTGATTAGATATAGGCAAACCGATACCCTTTCTCTTATTTTAATCTTTCCGTCAGGTTTTCTATCTAAGAAGATAGTGCAGCTAGTGATAAAGGGGATATAAAGACAATTTTATTTGAAAACATGCATACACACAAATGCACACTTAAGTGTAAGAAAAGTAACCAAGCCTTTATATATCCATCCATATCTAAGGTACAGTCAAAATAAAAGCAAAAAGCAATAGTGATAGGTATGGAGGTCAGAATGATGTCGCGGTCTCCTTTCACTGCATAGAAGCATAAGTACTTCCTACCCAACTTTGTACCACCGTTCATGATATCCAA